CTACTCAGACCATAAACCATTAGAAAATATGAACATAAAGGCAAGGACTGATGAGGAACTAGGGGATTTAATGTATTATTTATCCCAGTATAATCTCAAAATCAAATATAACCCAGGTAAATCAAACCAAGAAGCAGACTGTTTAAGCCGAAATCCAGTTTTAGAACCTTATGAAAACATTGATGATTTTTTAAAAGTGGTTAATTTAATAAACCTTAAAGATATAAAAGAAGACCAACAAAAAAATTTAAATTTAAAAATATGAAACTAATATTAGAGAAAGAAATTTACTATAAAAAGAATAAAAGAAGAGAGAAAATAATACTATCAGAACAACTTAGCAAAATACTAATAAAAGATGTCCATAATACTTACTGCCACATTGGAAGAACCCAGTTGACAAATAAAATAACACCATTCTACACAGCAAAAAATATCATAAAAAACATTAATCAGATTTGTGATAAATGTGAAGTTTGTATAAAAAATAAATCGAGGAGAAAACCAAAATATGGTTTAATGTCACATTTGGGTCCAGCAACAAGACCATTTGAAATCATATCTATTGATACCATCGGTGGTTTTGGAGGATCACGGTCAACTAAAAGATATCTACATCTCCTGGTCGACCATTTTACAAGGTATGCTTGTATCTGCACATCAAAAACCCAGAGCTCCAATGATTTTATAAAATTAATAAAAAAAAAATATTACAAAAGATTACAATATTGAAATGCTTCTAACAGACCAATACCCTGGTATAAATTCTAAAGAATTTAAACAATTCCTGGAGAGAGAAAACATAAGAATGGTTTTCACTGCTGTGGATGCACCATTTTCAAACGGACTTAACGAAAGACTAAACCAAACATTAGTAAACAAGATCAGATGTAAAATAAATGAAAATAATAAGAAAACAGCATGGACTACTATTGCACAAAAGTGTGTAGAAAAATACAATGAGACAGAACATACAGTCACGAAGTTTGCCCCAAAGTATCTTTTAGAAGGTGAAAATGTAAATGTTCTACCACTCGAATTGAAAAAAACATGTACAAGAGAAGTCCTAAAAAGAGACAGGAAACTAGCTCTTAAAAACACCATAAAATCACACAACCATAATAAAAAAATATTTGATTTACACAGGCAGAATCATAATTTTAAAATTGGAGACAGAGTATATGTGGAAAACGGTAATAGATTGAATAGGAAGAAATTGGAGGAGTTAAGGATTGGACCATACAAAATCCTGAAGAAAATCTCAAACTCAATCTATGAAATTGATATCGGACACAGAAAAGAAGAGTCAAATTTCTACCATGTGACAAAACTGACTCCAGTGGAGGTGTATGTTGGTAAATAAACTATTGCATATGTAAACAGTTGCAATTGTTTTGTTTTTTTTTTTTTCGTGGGGGGGTAGATGTAAAGAAAACAGTCACTTGAGTATGTTTCTTTAATTTGTTTTATCTGTTCCTACTGAACAAACCGCTGGATGGCGCCACAGTCATATTCAAATGTAATATCAATTACCATTATTTATTATTATTATTTTTTTTTTAGTATCACAATTAATATTATGTACAATTTTGTAAAACACATCTTAATAGTTAATACCTATGTGAAAAATAATTTTATTTAATTTAGAAATAAGGGCTTTAAATGTTGTTTCTTTAATTGTTTTAGGTAAGTAAATAATGTAATGTATAAATATTAACATGATTAATAAATAACTTTAATTGTTTTAGAGATACACAATTGAGCTTTCTTATAAAAAACCTGATAAGGTATTATATATATATGATAAAATTCAAAAAACCGCGTCCGTCCGATTAGCGCCTAGATGGCGCCACCGTCAGTGATAATACGAGTCGAGCGGACGGCGGACAGAGCGCGCCGCGGACGGTACGGCCGCCGCGTCGAGCGTCTAATGGGCGTGGTGGTGCGGTGATGTAGCCGGGTGGGGTGGTGCGGACAACGTTACCGAGGTATGGGTAGTGTGGGGTGGTGGAGGGGGATTGCCACCGGTGGCTAGTGTTGGCGAGGGGTTAGGTTAGTTTGGGGTGGGTGGAGGGGATGGTGGCTCGGGTAGGTGGCCAAGGGGGCTCGGTATAGACGGGGGTGGGTGGAGGGGATGGTGTCTCGGGTAGGTGGCTCGGGGGCTCGGTATAGGCGTGCGTGGGTGGAGGGGATGGTGTCTCGGGTAGGTGGCTCGGGGGCTCGGTATAGGCGGATGTGGGTGGAGGAAATGGTGTCTCGGGTGTCTTATGGCGGCCGGATCGGCTGGGGGTTGGTGGAGGGGTGGTGGCTCTGGTAGTTGGCCAAGGGGATGGTGGCTCGGGTAGGTGGCCAAGGGGGCTCGGTATAGACGGGGGTGGGTGGAGGGGATGGTATCTCGGGTAGGTGGCTCGGGGGCTCGGTATAGGCGTGGGTGGGTGGAGGGGATGGTGTCTCGGGTAGGTAGCTCGGGGGCTCGGTATAGGCGGGGGTGGGTGGAGGGGATGGTGGCTCGGGTAGGTGGCTTGGGTGTCTTAGGGCGGCCGAATCGTCTGGGGGTGGGTGGAGGGGTGGTGGCTCTGGAAGGTGACCAAGGGGATGGTGGCTCGGGTAGGTGGCCAAGGGGGCTCGGTATAGGCGGGGGTGGGTGGAGGGGATGGTGTCTCGGGTGTCTTAGGGTGGCCGGATCGGCTGGGGGTGGGTGGAGGGGATGGTGGCTCGGGTAGGTGGCTCGGTGGCGTGATATATTCGGGGGGTGGTGAAGCGGGGGGTCACCAGAACCGGCTATTTCACCCTACTTGTATTGTAAAATTACCTAATCAATAATAATATTTGTATATTTTATCACGTAGGTATACAAGTAGGTATACAAAAATTTCGAAAAATATCAATATAAAATTGAATAGGAAGACTTTACCCACGATATCGATTAAAAGTTGCAATATCTATATATATAATATAGTTGTAGTCGAACGATACTTAATAGGTATGTAATATGTATATAGGTGAGTTTCGTATGTTATCTACCAAGAAAATCATGTGTACAAAAATCTTGTATTAAGTAATAAATTACGATTTTTTTAAAAATTGTATACAAGTTTCGTCATTAAAAATAATTTTTCCATATAATTCACCCAAGTCCTAAAGTACTCATTTTATAAAACCGCATACATTGACAATTAATGAAAAACACACAACTACGACGTTTGATCTCGGCAATCAACGAACACATACTAAAATCTAAAATACAAAATAACTTTGAAATTTTGAAATTCCTAAAGGAATTATCAATATATGTAATATCGATACCGTCAATACGGATTACGGTAGATAGCATACGGCACGTGTGGCCTATATTATCTGAAAACGAGCGTTTCACGTTACGGACTCTGTCGTACCCACATCCAAACTCTCTCACTCTCGAACGAAGCTTTTATACACCAACTCACATAATCCATGATACTTCCGGTATTGTACCTACTACCTAGCATAGTAACATATATAGGTACCTACTATGGTGCGACACGACATTGAGATATACGCGATCTGTATTCAGTGACCACTGACGACTTTTCACGTTTACAACTGTTATTTTGTTACCAAACTATTGTTTTACCACATACATTTATTGTTTGTGAATTGTTATGATGAATCTACAAATTGGCTTAAAGTTCAACTCTTATGAAGAAATAACGAGCTTTATGCATTAATGTAAGCAAAAATCTTTAAACGATTATTGGATTCGGCATAACCGGACATTGCAGTCTGCTGGAAAAAGGTTTTTAAATATTTTCAAATCATATCATTGAATAAAAAATTACGTAAATGTTTTGATGTATCGTGTTTTTATCATTAGAATGAACAAAGATCGTTTTGATACTCTTAATCTGAATTTGAAATACAGTTACATAAAATTTAGTTGTATTCACGGAGGTCAAAAGTTCAGGGAAAAAATTAAAACCTCTAATCGAAAAACTTTGTAAATGTTAATTTAAATAAAAAATTGAGATTAATAATGTTTTATGAGTCTATATAATATTTTTACTATACCTAAATAAATGTATTTACAACTAATTTTCAATATTAATGTTTTAGTACGTTTAAACAAGAATGTGGTGCATGTATTTATTTTTCACTGTCTTAAAATGGACATCATTTAGTTTTGAAAAGCTTGTCAGAAGAGCATAACCATGCAGCCAATACAAAGTATAGTACCTACCTATGTAATAAATAAATTATAATTATTATTTATCTTAAAAGATTCAATTTTTTAATTTTTATCATTATAGAAAAACCTTTAATCATCTTCCAAACTAGAGAAAACTTAATAAAAAAGTAATTGATGAAGCAGTTAAGCTTCAAGCATTGAGAGTTGAGACCAAATAAGAAACTTCTCTTAAAAAGTTTATCTGATACTTCTGGTCAGACACTATTATTAAGAGATATAACAAATATTTCTAAATCAATTAATATGTATTCAAATGACTTTTCAGCTTGCTTACCAATACTTGAAAAACATAACTGTGAATATGAAGTTTTAGCAGAAGATAAGGAATTCAGAGGTTTATTTTTCCAAAATGAGGACATGAAAAGAAATTTTGAAGCATACCCTGAAATTGTCCTTCTAGATGGTACCTATAAATTATTAAATTTTAATGGTGTGGTTTATTTATTTATTGTTGAAGACTCGATTGGTAGTTCTGAAATAATTGCAGTTGGAATATTAGTTGGTGAAATTAAGGAGTACGTAAATTGGTTGATTTCCACATTCAAAAGCATTTCTTATGCTTCAACGCATTTCTTATGCTAAATCACATCAAAAATATAATGAAATATATGAAACCATGAGACAGATTTTACCGGCACAAATAATGAAATATTTTGATGACAACTGGGATCCTATTAAAGACGAATGGGTTGATGCCTTTATAAATGAATTTTTTTAAATTTTACCAATAATAGGACGGAATCGTTAAATCGTAATTTGAAATCCGTAATAAGAAAGTTAAGTTCTCTTGAAGAATTTTTAACAAATTTTTTTATTGAATTACATATAAAACGAACAGAACGAGATCATAAAGCTATAAATGTAATACATAAAATACCTATTATACCATTTAATGTGCTACCAATTAAAAAATATTCGGACCTTTTAACACAATATGCTTTTAACCATGTTGAAAAAGAATACATGGCTAGTCTCATAATAGATGACATATCCCTTGACAATGTTGATGTGACTATAATCAAATGTGATTGTAAGTTTTTTTAGGTCAATGACACTTCCATGTCGTCACATTATTAAAGGACCACGAAACAAAAAAATGATTTTGGCTTAATTAATAGTTAGTAAATTACTATAACTAACGGTGGTACTAAAATTTGTATACGTCGATTCGTTAAGGCGCTAGAGCCAAAGAGAGATAGGCGCGTGACGTCAGAAGATCACACAGCGCGGCGGCGGCGTATACTTTTATACAGGAATCGCCGACGCCGCCGTCTAGACTATTTATTTATAATTTTTGTTATAATATTCAATTATAATATTATAAATAACTTCGTAGACACAACAATGAACACACGTATGCAAATACTCTATTTGGTTAATTATGTTTTTATCCAAAATAAGACTTATTCTATGTTGACGAACGTCGATCAACCGCATTTTCCGTTTATACGTCTTCGCAAACGGACGTATTTTTATATTTTCATCGTTGGAATTTTGTTTTACGAGGTAAAGTAATGTATTATAAATTATAATCATTTTCATTTTATTCATTAATAATAATAATTTGTTAATTACATATTATATATTTTATTTATATAAAGTTGAAAAAGTTATAAGTACCTATATTATGTTATAATGTTATATTATATTATAATTTATAAGAGGTGTTCTCGCATAAGCAAAATATGTTTTATAACAATTTTTATTTGTTTTTGACAGTGTATTACAAATATTTAAATATGTCAATACGTCCATATAGTTTTGAGCCCACTGTGAACGATATTGATATGGCTGATATTCAGCCGGGTAGAAATGAACCAGATATACCAAAACAATTAGAGGGTCGTTCAAAAATTAATGTGAACGATTGGTGTTTATGTAATAAATGTATTTGGTTTACTACTGACCAAGAGTGTATTTGTTGCTTTGAGTTAGAAAAATTACATAAATTACTACCACATAGTAACAAAAAAACATGTATAACGGAGATAAGCTCATTTTCAAAAATTATCTTAGATGAAGAAGTAAGTCATTAATTAGGTACCTACATAATAAACACACAGTAGATACAGTTTTTTAATTTTGCCCTCGATATTATTTATTGCGTTCATTAGGTTCTCAATATTACTCGACAACAAATCATTGTCAAATCAAAAAATAAAAGCAAAAAAAAAAATGGTATGTTCATCACAACCAACAAATAAGATGTGGAGGTATATTTGTTATAAACAATTTACTCATTGGATTAACTCGTGGAATTCTATAGGAAAAGGTAGGATGACTACAAGTCCATTCATAATATAATGCAATAATGAAATATGTTAAATAATGCTTTTAAATATGTATAGGAACGTATAAATACAAGTGATTAAATTTTTGGTTTTATATAGTGTTGAAAGTGAAGCTTGACGGACTAATGATGTTAGCATTAATATAATAAGTAATAACACGACAATATGATTATGTATAAGTATAATATATAATAACGTACAACTGGACAATTAAACTGTGACAGTACACACACATCGTATACGCTCTGTACAACGACGCCTGTGCAAGTGAATATTACATACATCAAAGGCCCTATATACATGCACGACCGAGGTCATGTTACATCCGTGAAGAGAGTGAGTGTTATGCTCGTACATAACTAGTTACTATATTGTACACACGTGTCAAGGCTGACTACATGTACTACATATTAATTGTATATTTCAAGACCCTCCCTCAATTAATAATCTTTTTAATTGTAGTCACTCCTATGGCTGACCGCAACTTCTCAAATCGTTTCTTAACCAAAGGCGTGGTTAGAATGTCCGCAATCTGGTCCTCTGTTCCAATGTACTGTAGTTGGAATTGTCCCTCTTCGTATTTCTCCCGTATGAAGTGGTACCGTACGTCTATATGTTTTGTCCGCTTATGAAACTCCGGATTTTTAACTGTTGTCGATAAGCTTGTTATCAACCGTGTAATCCACAAGATCCCTTTGACAGCTTCACTGGCCGAAATATATTCAGCCTCTGTCGATGACAATGACACACTATGTTATCTCTGTGATGTCCATGAAATTATGCTTGACCCGTACCTGAATAGAAATCCTGACGTTGAACGTCGTGTCTGAATGTCGCCTGCGTAATCTGCATCGCTAAATATTTCTGATGACAATTTTGTTTTGTTATTAAAATACAAGCCATAATTAAATGTTCGCTTGATATATCGTATAATCCGTTTTACCAAGTTCCAATGAGCTTTAGTTGGTTTTGCTAAGTAACGACTAGCAAAGTTTACTGCATATGCTATATCTGGTCTTGTTACCTGTGATAAGAACAGTAAGCTACTTACTGCCTGCCTATAAGGAATATCCTCATTCAATATTTCCGTATCTTCTTTTTGTTCAAGTGTATGTGATTTGTCTATTGGTATTGAAAGTTCCTTGGCGTCCAGCATATTAAATTTATTAATTATGCTACATGCATAATTTGTCTGATGCACAAATAATGAACCATTTTTCATTATATTTACCTGCATACCTAGGAAATAATCTAAGTTTCCTTTTTTAACCTCAAATTCTTTCTCCAAGTTTGTTAAAAGTTTATTTATTATTTCTTCATTGTCTGCAGCGATTAAATCATCGTCTACAAATATTGCCAGAATAATTCTACTATTATATGCATTGAAGACACATGCATCCGCTTCGGTACATTGTAAACCAAATGCATTCAAAAAATTCTTAAAGCGTATATTCCAACATCTTGGACTTTGTTTTAAGCCATATAAACTACGCTGAAGCTTACATACTTTATTCGATCCATCTTCGTATCCTGGTGGTTGTACCATGTAAATTTCTTCCTGTAGTTCTCCGTACAGAAATGCTGTCTTGATGTCGAATTGTCGTAGTATTAATTTTTCCACAGCTGCTACTGCGAATATCGCCCTAATTGATTCGTATCTGACTACTGGCGAAATTTTTTCATGGTAATCTATACCGTATTTCTGTGAACAACCTTTAATGACCAATCTGGCCTTAAACTTATCGATATTACCGTCACTTTTATATTTGGTTTTGAAAACCCATGCGTTACGTAACGCAACCTTGCCCTGAGGCAAATTAACTAGTGACCAAGTGTTGTTTTTGTGTAGTGACGTTATAGCGTGCTCCCACTCGTTTTTCTGTGGGCCAGCTATCGCTTCATCACAATTTAGTTTTTCAACGAGATTGGGGACGAACGACGACACATTATACCTGATTAGCGCTTTTAATGTATTTCGATCACGTAGCACCATGCCACTCCTGTTGTCGACCGTCGTCAATTCGACCTTGACCTGATCGTCCTCGATTTGCGTCTGAGTATCTGTGAATTCTAACGTGTCTGTAATTATATTTTCCAATTTATTACCTTCGTTGTCGAATATAATATCTCTAGACATTGAAATTTTATTTGTTTTTGAATAATACACACGATAACCTTTGGTATTATCCGAATAGCCAACAAATATTCCTTCTTCAGTTTTAGGGTCCCATTTTTTACGTTTTTGCTTTGGTATGTGTGTATATACGACAGTACCAAAAACTCGTAAGTGTTTAATGTCTGGCATTACCTTATAATATAACTCGTATGGTGAGTTATTTTTAACTGAACTGGTTCCTGTTCGATTAAGCGTGTACACAGCCGTGTTTACCGCCTCCGCCCAAAGTGATACATCCAAATTGTTCGCACAAATCATTGTCCTCGCTGACTCTACTATTGTACGATTTTCCCGTTCCACTTTTCCATTTTGCTGTGGTGTGTAGGGAACTGTTAACTGATGTCGAATCCCGTGTTTTTGTAAAATACCCGTAATTTCTTTACTTACGAATTCTAATCCATTATCCGTTCGTAATATTTTGACCTTAGAACCTGCTTCTGTTTCAACACTTTTTATGAACGTTTCAAAAATATTTTTAACATCATATTTATTTTTAATAAAATATACCGTTCAGTAGTAGGAAAAGGCCGGTACTGGTGACCCCCCGCTTCACCACCCCCCCGCCTATACCGCGCTAGTCTGCGCTAGGCTGCGCTACCCCCGCCACCCTCCCCCCGCCTATACTGCGCTAGTCTGCGCTAGCCTGCACTACCCCCGCCACCCTCCCCCCTCCACCCCCAAAACATCGGTGACGTAGCGCGCTAGCCCCCCGCCTCACCCCCAGCCTATACCGCGCTAGTCTGCGCTACCCCGCCACCCTCCCCCCGCCTATACTGCACTTTCCCCTCCCCCTCCACCACCAATACATCGGTGACGTTGCGCGCTAGCCCCCCGCCTCACCCCCAGCCTATACCGCGCTACCAGACGCCAAGCTGCGCTACCCCCGCCCCACCCCGCTTGTATATCGGTCGCGTTTCCCTACGTCATCGTGCGAATCTCTCCCCCCACTCTCCCCACCAGTACTACGCGTCATCCCGCGCCACTCCGCCAATCCCCCGCCCGTCCCGCACCGGAACTACGTAATCCGTCTCCTCCCGCGTCATCGCGGGCCCCCGCGGTATATATATATATATATATATATATTGCGCCACTCCGCCAATCCCCCGCCCGTCCCGCACCGGAACTACGTAATCCGGCTCCTCCCGCGTCATCGCGGGCCCCCGCGGTATATATATATAGTAAATACTCCGAACATGCTATAGTATATACCTATATACTATGTACATACTACATACTATATACATACTATGTATATACTATGCACGCACCTATATACTATCTACATTGTACATACTACATACTATATATATATATATATATATATATATATATATATATATACTCTAAACATAGCCTAGTATAGCAGTATATTAGTATATATGAAAGAATCACCCCTCCCCATATATTTCACGACATATTCACGCTTACCGTGGTTGATCTATTAACTAAGTTAATTATTATTTTTAATTCGCATGCCAAAATATATGATAATCGTGGATCATACCCGGTGCAGCTGTTCGATGTCCACCAAGTGTGTTTCATTATATTGTTTTTCAAATTAAATAGTATTAAATTTAATAAATAATAATAATAATAATGACGGAACGTGACGTTCAACTGCGACTAGACGGAGATATGTCGCTCGCCGAGTTAATCGATACCAGCGATTTCGTCATAGACTTTATCAGTCGCAAGACTATCAGCATCGGACTCGACCCGTCTATGGATTTCAACGTATCTATCAGGATAGTCACGCCGTCGCGGTTCGTATGTATAACAACCGATTTTTTACGGCGCCTTTACTCGTTGATGGGACATATTCTATCGATTATAACCGATCCGCCGGTTAAAAGCCTCGAGAAACTGCTACTCCGGGATGAGACGATTACACTGTGCAAAATTAGTTATCGCGGTAATAATATGCTTGTAATCGAATCCCACCGCCAGAAAGGACGCCGTGTATTATTGAGCAGACGAAATCTATTAAAGCTCCAAGACATGCAGTGGATTATCAACGAGGTTATCGCCCAAAAATCTAACATTATACGTCACATGGTGATGGGACAAACTGATCTTATGGCCGCATATTTATACGCAAATGTACCCGCAGAAAAATCCTCGTCAGTTGAAGAAATTACAGCGATCATATGCAATATCCACAGCGATTTATCGACACTGAATATCGTCCCGAAAAATGAATACTGTTTCGCGAACCAGATCAAATTGTTTGCGCGCAAACAACTCGCCGAGTGTTGGCACAAGAAAATGCGCGAAGACGGTACAGCTGACTATCTGATCGACGCCACCGCGGCCGCCGCAGCCACCGCTGACGTCATCGAATGGGTAATATATTATTATTATATTATATTATGCTATATTATAAATTAAAATATGTCGTACGTTATTTTTGCAGCCGATCAGACTCGAAGAAATTGACGGGTCAGCGATGTTTTCTTATACAAACTATTGATGTGCTGTTGTCCACACCAAATTCCACACGATTCATTCAACCGCTGGCGCCAGGGATATAGGAAATATAGTCGACTAGACATAATATAATATATATATATATATATATATATATGTTTACGTTGTTATATTGTCACACAACGTCGCATTCATATTATTCACACCGAATTCCACACGATTCATTCAACCGCTGGCGCCAGGGATATAGGAAATATAGTCGACTAGACATAATATAATATATATATATGTATACGTTGTTATATTGTCA